AAAACAAACAATAATATACATAAAAAATTATGTACAGCGTAAAATAATTTTATAAACATTATCCAATTTTTAAAATAATTGTATTGGAGGACTTTGTTGCGTCGAAGCGCCGCGCGTATTATTATGTATGGGTGCTTTGATTGGAGTAGAAATCGTAGCAGACGGCCTTTGAGTGGGAAAAATGACATAATATATCAAAATGTCCAAATCAGCTCAATCTTATAGTCCTTCATGACGGCAAATTTGTATAATTGATAATTTTTATTTTAAGGCAAATATGAACATGAAACTTTTGGTACCAAAACCGTTTTTGCCAATTCATGTTGTTTGTTAAACTGATAATATAATAAAACTAACGCAATTCATTAATCAATTGCAAAAATGTATGATAAGCACAATGATCAACAATCAACAACTAAACTTGTAGCGCGATGTACTACTGGGCCGCGCGCGCATCCAATAATGCTTCTCGCACGTCCACGTATAGTATGCAGATCGGCGGGATGCGATGGATTGACATCTTACTGGGCAGCGCTCAGCCTGTCATTCCGCCTAATCTCTATTCGTTTATAAACATGATAGCTTGAGGTCCCCAGGTAAATTGACATTGTAAATCAATACCTAAACTGGTTGGGCCCATTTTAATTTTTTTCTAAATCAAATCAAATCAGATCGATTGTATTTGATTAATAATTTGTAGCGCAGTGCACTACTGGGCCGCGCTGTGCAACAAATAATTCTTCTCGCAACCTTCGATTAGATAGATCGGTGAAATGCACCACTGGGCCTCACCAAGCTGCGAAGGATTTACGCATCGTGAATCAAATTAATAATTAATGTTGGTAGGAAAATATTTAATATATATTTTTCACATAGTGCGATGATATTTTGTTGACATGTGTGACGTACGTGTAATGATGATAAATGATAATTTTAATTTATTATAGCATTTAGTTTACTTTCATACGCAATAATTTTCTTAAATCTAGATTTACTTAAGCAAAAGAAAACTAATTACTCAAGCAAAAGTTTGACCATTGTTAATGATCTGACCCGGCGCGCGCTACTTCGTAGCTCTTGCCATCGGGCCATTTCAAGAAGAAAGCGGCGCGCGCTACTTCGAAGAAATTTAGACGAGTAACATCCGTCAAGCAAAAGTAAACTATTTTAATTAATTTTCATTAATATGTAAATGGAATGACTGTTGACATTGTTTTTGATATTTTGAACACCTACGTTTCGGGCAGAATTTAATATTTATTTTGGGACATTAGTAAGTAAGTAAGTAAGTAAGTAAAGATTATGACATAACATCATCACAAGTGATTTACAAAATATCATTGCACTAAATAAAAAAATAATTTAAATAAATATATTTTTCCATCAACATTAATAATTTATCAGATTCAATTTTATTAATTAATAAAATCGAATACATTATCTATAAATAATTCATTAATACTTCCCAGTGGGATAAAGATTTATAAAACGCTTCTTTGCCACAAAAGGATGAAACCAAAGATATTCATTATGTGTCTCCTTATTGCTTAAATAACCGGGTCCTTCAATTTTCCCTAAAACTTCACTCGAAATATTCCAAAAATAAAAATCATTTACACTGTTTTTAGAAATCATTTCTTTCTTAAATCCTTCCAATCTAACTTTAAAGCTTAAAACTGTCGAGCAGTTCTTGACATCCGAAGGGAGTTTGTTCCAGTAAGGAATGACTCGCTCCGGAAGAAAAGAAGACTGGAGATTCTTAACTTTAGTTACACTCTTATTACACCTATTAGTTGAAACTAGATTAAGACCAGATCTGCTCATTCTGAACAAACCCGATCCATATTCAGTCAAACCACTAGTTACTTTAAAAGCTTCGATAAGGTCCCCACGTATTCGCCGCTCTGCCAGCGTTGTCAAATTGAGGATATCCAGTCTGCGGCTGTATGGAAGAGTACCCACCTCATCAATAAGACGGGTAAACCGCCTCTGGACGCTCTCCAGCTCCAAAACAGTCCCCCAACTTCCATGAGCCGCAACTGGATTCCACAATTGGACACAATACTCAAGATGAGGTCTTATCAAAGCTTTATAAATAGCTATCATAACAACCTTTTCTCTAATAACTAAATTTCTTACAATCCAGCAGATCATACGATTTGCTTTAGAAATACATGCTTTTATCTGTTCATTCCAAAGCAAGGAGCTATGGGTAATAACCCCCAAATCTTTTTCCTGTGCAGATACTTCTAGTTCTACTCCATTTACAATATAATTCGAGTTAGGATTATTATTCAGATTAATATGGACTACTTTACACTTGGCAGGATTGAAGTTTAAGTGCCAAATACTCTCCCAAATTTCGAGTTCTAAAATATCATCAGATACACTTCTATGGTTAGCTGCATTACAAACTAGCTTGAGATCATCTGCAAATAATTTAATCTTATTTTTAACATTGTCAGGTAAATCGTTTATATAAAGAATAAATAGCAAAGGACCCAATACTGACCCCTGGGGAACACCAGATAACACGTGTTTCACCTCAGACCATTGTCCTTCTACACAAACCCTCATGGTTCTGTCTGTCAGAAAGTCTTTTATAACATCTAAAACTTTTCCCTTGACCCCAAACCCCTCCAATTTAGATAGAAGTCTAAAGTGGGGGACTGTGTCAAAAGCTTTACTAAAATCAAAATACAAAAGATCGACAGGAGCACCTTCGTCTAAAATATCAAGAATATTATCAAATGTCTCTAAGAGATTAGAAAGACAAGATTTACCCTTCACAAATCCATGCTGATGCTTTGAAATTCGTTCTTCTAAAAATGTTAATAAATGTGCCCTCACCAACTTTTCATACACTTTGCACAAAATACAAGTTAAAGAGACAGGTCTATAATTTAAGGGATCAGATTTAACACCCTTTTTGAACAATGCTACAACAGATGCTGTCTTCCAAATGTCAGGCAGGACTCCTGTTTCTGAACACTTAACAAATAATTCAGTTACAGCTTCAACAAACTTTTCATCGTATGCTAAGGATTTCAACAACTTTGGATGAACGCCATCCGGACCAGAACTCTTAAAAACATTAAGCTTTAAAAGCTGCTTCTTGATATCAGAACTGCTAATTTCCATATCATCAATAACCTCTCTGTTATAACTCTCATTTTGGGGAAGAGGGCCAGGTGGTTCACGCACAAACACAGAACTAAAGGCACTAGCAAGTACCTCAGCTGACTCAGATGAACTATCTGTGCGTGTACCATCTCCTCTATCTAAAGAAACAACACTTGATTTGACTTGACGTTTATTACGCAAATACGACAAGAGCATCATTTGTATACAAAACCTGATCAAGAAGACTCTCCTGGAGAGTATCTTTCACAAGCCGTCTTCTGGTTGTTTCGTTAGTAAAGTACCACGTCAAACCACTGTCATTAAATAAATCAATATACTTTTGTTGAATCATTAAAACCTGATTCTTACTAGAAATACCACTATTTACACTACCAGTTTCCCAAGATACATTAGGTAGGTTAAAATCTCCTATGATAATGGTTTCAAAAACATTCTTTTCACTAGATATGTTCTTGATGCAAGATAATAACATATTATTCTGTTTTAAATTCAAAGAAGTAGACCTATAAATACAACAAATACTAATCAATCCACCAGAGGTATTGACATTAATAGCTAAAGAGTCTGGTGCTTTTAAAAATGAGCTCACTAATGAAGCATTACAACTGTTTTTAATATAAATAATAGAACCTCCACCTCCACTTATGTTGCTAGTGGAATTATCGATTTTAAAATCTCTGTCTTTTCTAAACATACTAAAACCTTCAATAAAAATTTCAGCATCTAAAATATCACTATTAAAATGAGTTTCTGTAATGCAGATTACATGAATGGATTTATAAACTGATAGAATACATTTTAGTTCATCAATTTTATTAAATAGTCCATTAGCATTAGTATAAAATATATTCATGGGCTGACTACATTCTTTGTTACTGCTATTTACTTCTTCTCCACCTTCTTCTCTGTCTTTTCCTTCTCTGCTTCTTCCCGCCTCTTCTTCCTCTCTTCTCTGGCTAAAAAACGGATCTCTCGGTCTGCTCTGCAGAGATCCAGATTTATCCAGTATGATGACTCTTTCCAGCCCTTGCCATGGTTGGAATAATAGTTAACTGACTCCTCGTCAGCTGTCTGGATGATCAATGGCCGACAGGAGTCTGGCTTACCTGGATCCACTTTACCTGCACGATGGCAACTGATAAAGTCACTTTTTTCAATCTTTAGTGTCTCCTTGCAGAACTTCGAGTCCTCTTCCTGGCGTAGCTTGGAGTTAGTTTTCTTGCTCTCTGGTACATTCAAAACACACAGATTGAGCTTTCTTAAATTTCGCTCATATGCATCAGTGTGCATCTTTGACTGAACTTTACTGACAACACTTTGAGAAGCTTGCTGTAGGCTCATTTCTTCAATAACTTTCTTCTGACTATTTGCAGTAACATCTGCCCAGGTTTGGAAAGCCTGGTTCACAATTTTTGTGATTTCTTTTGGTTTTTCAGATGAATCATTAGAAGAACTGTTATGACTCACAGAATCTTCGACAATTCCTCTAATACACGGAGTAAGGGCACCAAGTTCTTCTCTAATAACATTCCGTAGGGTCTTGGTTTCTTCACTGTCTGGATTTGTGGACTGGCTTCTTGTGCCCTTGATGTGGGGAGAGATAAAGCAATTTTGGCAGCGCCAGTTAGTCAAGTGGTTACCTTCTTCCTGCGTTAATCCAGTAAGCCCAACACAGCAGTAGTGCCAGTACATGTCGCAAGTTGCACATGCCAAAGAAAACTCCTCCGCAATATATCTTCTACATTCACAGCTACGATCTTCTTCTTCTTCAATTTCTCCATTATCCGCTGTCATATCTACCTTCACTGGACTTTTCATGACATCTCTTGATCGTGTCATATCTCCGGGTGTCATACCTCAAATTATTTGTTATATAGTAGTGTTGAAAGTATTAAAACTTAATAAAAATAAAGAGATTTCAAATAATTTTGGACTATTTTCGTTACCACATTACTGGGTAGTGGGTAATGTTTTTTGTATCACATGACTTTATTCGGTTTTTCTGATCTTTCTGAGTTGATTCCAGCGGCTAAACTTACCTTTGAGCCACTGGTTGATTCCCACCACCTATAACTTGAACTTTTGTAGTTAGTCAATTCCCATCTGCCATTGGGTAATTGGAATATTTGTAATGTTAACATATGTATCATGTTGTCAACTATCCTAGACAGTCTCTGTAAAGCAGCAGTTGTTCTTAAGAACAACTGCGTTAAGCGTTGTATTGTGGCTGAAATTTCAGCCTCAATACAACGCTTAACATTTTTATTGTAGGTTCATGATCTACTGGTCTATCTTTAGAGATGATAGTGATGACAGCATCATTGCTTTCTGCTGTGTAGCACAACTTGGCATTGGTGACCTATCATAAAGATCATTATTACATTGCTCTCCCTATTCATCTTCTTGTCACTTTATTTTCCTTCAGCTTCTCCTGCTTATTCTAAGGCCATCTAATGTAATATTCTTTACGTCATCATCTTTGGTTTAGTTGAGAATTCTCAACACCCACTTTCAATATTTACTTAAAATTGTATTTTACTCAATTCGAGTACTGTGGAACCACTTAGTCCAAACTTACAGCATGGTATTTGTTATCATGTATAGAAAAACCTTAACCTAGTAACCTTGTTGCCTGCACAAGAGCAATTCTAACTGCAAATCCCCATTTTTGTGAACAAACTGATATGAATCTGAAAAAATTATATGTTGTCTGCATGTTTGTGATGGCCCTAGTTCCTGCCAAAGGTTGCCCATTTAAGTCAGTTGTCGGAGAATATAAAGGGTAATCATATCTGGGCTCACAAGCAAATTAGGTGGATGTATTTTGTTCAATTTGATATTTGCACCCAAGTATTTATCTCCATTGTCTTAAAGTTTTAAAATTTCTATTTTCTATGTTTATTATCTTTATTGCAGTAGTTAGTTCATCATGGTGGAGTATCTTTTATCTTAAATTTCTCAAGCACATTTGTACTCATTCATTTATCTTATATTTTTTAGCCTCAAAACGATGGAAGGGACTCGGCAGGAGTTTGAAGATGCTGTTTCCCTTGTACAGAAACTTCCTAAAGATGGGCCTTACAAGGTAATTAAAACATTGAAACTATATTTCTTCTTATTTATATTAATGCACTGTGGAATCTACAGGATTTAAAAGTATAAGGTATTTAAATGATAGTGTAATGCTTGACTGATAAATTGTCTTGCTAAGAGAGTATATCAGTGCTCTGTTCAGGAATTCTTGCCTAGTTTATGTAATGGTGGCCAATGCTGCTGATTTTGTTTCTGTAATAAATATTGATATAGTCCAGACAGTTGTGAGGGTTTTTGTTCATAATTCTCCTGTCTCCATCAACGATAAAATCAGTTATGAATTTAAATATTGGATGGATTTTAAAAGTATCAAAAGAATAAAACAATGATAAGTTTATACTTTCAGCCAGGTGATAATGTTAGACTGAGGTTCTACGCTCTATACAAACAGGCAATGCTGGGCCCTAACACAACTCAGCAGCCCAGTTTCATGTGGGACCCAGTGGGCAGGTTGGATAAATTTACACAATCTTCTTTCTGCTCAGATATTGCAAATGCTGAGATTGAACCGTAATATGCTTCTGTACTTCTTGGCAAAAGGCAATGTTAATAGTTTCATATCTCTTGTTTTCAACTCCATTCAATAAGGTACAAATGGAAAGCTTGGACAGATCTAGGTAGCATAGCCAAAACAGAAGCTATGCGACAGTATGTCCTGGAGTTGAAGGAAATGGTCGGCAATATCCCGGAAACAGATGACAGTCTAGCATTCCTCACAATATTCAGAGATAAGTTCCAAGTTGAGGAGGGTTACAAAACTCTTGACAGGTCTCAGGAGTGCGTAGAAGTGAGATTTTTTAACAATTCTAATAGATTTTTGTTGGTTTCCAATGATATACTTATTGATTTATCTGTGAAGTGTATACAGCACTACCAATCTAAATTAACATTACTGCACTGAATGGTGGTCGTTGCCTTAATGACAACAACCAACAACGTGCACTATACACTGTGCACGTTACATGGTATGTTATATCGTTATCTCTAAAGGTGATGGAAGGAAAGGCGGAGACAGACACTGAGGAGTTCCTTGACACGGTCACCAAACCTCCATCAGCAGAGAATAAACACACTAACTTTCTGGACCCTGAGACGGAACTTCTGGATAACAGTTTAGGTTAGTATCTATTGTAGTATTACTCACCAAATCTGCAGCGATTTGGCTTTGTACAGTATTTCTTGAAAGTTTGACAGTTATAAATTGAATGTGTCTACTTTTTTTTGGTGTGGTATTTACAATATGTTACACTTAAACAATATTATCCAATGTACAGAAAGTGTTTATATTTCACATTTCACATTTCATACTATATCTTGCATCTCACTGATGCGATGCGGAAAATTTTGTGCCAAGCCTAATTAGTTTTTGTGTAGACTACATTAATGTGTAAACATGTCACATTGCAGCAAATAATGTGTGTTTATACTCTGAGCTTTACGTTAACCTCTCTGTTAATTACATTTTATTCAACAGAATATCCATACAGATTTGCCCTGTATCGTCAACATTAAAACTCATAATCAAATTTTCCCCCAGTTGACACAAGTTGACTGCTTATACACTATAATTACATCAAAATTAGGATCTGAGTCTGTCAATTTGTGCGCAATTTCCCTCGTGATGAACGGAAGTGAAAACAATTATTTATTTGATTCGCTCAATGTTCATCTGGAAAGTTGTCAAATTTAACTCCGTCTTAGTACGTTAAGTACCTGTCTTTGATTTATGGTCACTTGATAGATATATACATCATTAAAAGTAGCAAAACTGAATGTATAACGTTTATGCCCAATTGGTCAAACTCTTCCCAAATTGCACTTTATCTGATCTCAAAGCAGACCAAATTGAAATGTGAGTAGTTTCTCATTTCTGAGGAATACATATTAAATATGTACAGTAGGATTCTAATTTCTGTGGAAAATGTTGTGGTTTACAACTTCACTGAAATAAGAGGGGACAACTTATTTTGACTTCAAACCCCAACACTCTGTTATAGTCCACAAAAGACTATTGTCCACTTTTTACTAAACCTTCAAATTCTGCTATCTCTGAATATTTAATGCCCCTAGTACCGGATGTCAGTTGTACACAACCTCCTAACATGGTACTTCGTGTTTGTTTCCATCACATAATACAATTACAATTATAAAGGAGCACATATAATAGAATTACAATTATACAGATTAGTATACAAATATTCAGTATTGTTTTGATTATTGTATTCAATATTCATGTACTGTATGTATTGTATTAATGTACTATGTATATTTTTCCCAAAAAAAATTAAACAGATTAGTCCCACACACTAAACCTCTGTCCCTGCTCCTTTATAAGGTTAAATACCTCAACTTTGAGACTAATAATTGTTTGATATTGTATGTAGTCTTGTTATTATTATGGGTTATATGTACATTTTATGGGCCATATTAAGTAAGGTCTACCTACATTCTACAAGTATAACAGAGTTTGTATTACATGTTGTCATGGTAACCCGACTCTCCCTCACTCATCCTCAATTATATTAGTGTGAGGAAAAGGCTTGGTATATTTTGTTTGAGGATTTGCTTAGTCCCGTTTGTGCTTAGTAGGAGAGGATGGAGTTCGATTCTTATGGATCCTTCTATAAAATAGGTAAAAATTTATAGATTTTGAATGTATACTCATTTGCAGTATTGATACTAACTAGTTATCAATTTTTTATTGGTTGTAAATAAATATGTTGCCTAGAATTTCTACTCAAGATGAAAGCTTTCGACTATCTATTGTTTGTAATTTTCTGCACAATACAGCTCGACTAGATTAAAGACGGCTACTTATAATGTATTTTCCGGCAAGTAGTCATTAATACAATTATTCCTTAAAACAAGTGCAACAGTTTGCTTTCAAAGTGGGTGTAATCATAACAGTTCACAATTATTTAATGAATTTGTAAAGGATAATTTGTATTTCGCTTTAACTCTCGTAAAAATATTGCGACCTCAAATATGAAATAAAACGGCCAATTAAAGATGATAACTAAACTCCTGCAATCATTGTAAGAAAATAAATGATCCTAATTTGATACAAATGTTATTTAAAAATGGCTTATATGTCACATACATAATTATATCAGAAAAATCGAGTTAAATGTAAATTTACCTAATCAATACAGTGCAGAAAGACATAAAAACCGTCCAATGTCCATACATATTTCTACCAGTCCTCTCAACGATTTCCCAAACTCTTCATTACGTTGATATATCGTTGGTTTTTCAAATTATCACTCTTGAGCTTTCTTGATTTCCCTCCTGTAATTGAAGCTCGTTATAAAAAGACTGGATTGTCAAATTTCACAGTTTGAATGATGTCTATTTAATATAACGTTCGACGAACGGTTGGACTTTTTATTTCATCTAGCTACGTAGTATATAAACCTGGTTCCGAAAACACTAAGTTAATGTCAACTTAACTTATTATATAGAAAGTGGTCTTGAATTGATCGGAATCTGATGGCTTCAGAATATCTGCATCGTCTTCAGTGTATGTCCATCTGAAAATTGTGCTGTTTTATGGAATGTAGATTACATAGAAATGTTAGTAATAAAAGGAAAATGAAAACCTTATTCTTTTCCATGGTTAAATACAGTAGATCATGTGATGCAAACTTACTTGTTAATGATGACTTTTGTTATTCCCATGAGGAAGGGAGAAGTTTCAGGAGCAGCAGATGTTACATCCCAAATTGCTAGAAATGTTCCCTTATTTCATTATGGACTACCGAGCGCTATATACTATAATCTGACAGTAATGATCTTATTTCCAAGCTACCGTAATTATCATTTATCCAAAACATTTTCAAATAACAGCCAGTAATTATTCAACTGCGCTGATGACGGCACAAATCTAGAGTTTATCTTACCTGGCTAAATCACGTCATTTGTGTTTTGTTTTGATATCGTTTATTGCAGTGCTTGTAACAGTTTTACATCTTCACAAAATACTGAACTAGCGTTTCAAATACTCACAAACGAAATTTGAAAAGTAGTTCATGAAAAGCAAACGGCCCTAGTTTGTTTTTCTGAACTCTTGACAAATTATAAAGGTAAGTTATTATAGGACTATACTACGTTTAAAGTATTGAGTTTTCCATTGAAATACTGTTGAAGTAAAATATACAGTGTTACTGTTTACATAATGTAATCATTATAATTTATAAAAAAATTTACCGCATTTTCTGCATTCCGGTGTTTCTGACCAGCTCCCACTTGCTTGACACGTGACTTGCTTCCTTCCCATCAGGACATATCGTTTTGGCTTTAAACACGTGACTGTGACAACTGTTCCTTCTCTCTGAGGTCCAGTGGGTGAAACTGTACCGTTCTTTACACTCAATTCTTCACAAGATTGCTCTGAGATTGATTTTAAATCTTTTGATATTTATTAAATAATTTAATGTTTATTTATCATTAATATGATCATTTAAGCAAAAAATAATTGAATGATCAGTATATTGCTTGAAATGTGTGCGATAATTCTAATAGCAGCATATTTTATTGCTTAAGAGGTTAAAAGAAAACAATTCTATTATGTTTAAATACGTATCACATTACAACATTTCCTTGCACACATCGTATATTCGATCGACTTTTATATAACCACAACAAATGTAATACCTGGGCAAATATCAGTGTTACAAGATTCTGTTTCTTTAGCATCTCCCATACACGCTGCACCACCATTCGCTGGGACAGGGTTGGTACAAGATCTGCTTCTAGTTTGAGTTCCTCCACCACAGTCTACAGAACAGTCCGACCAGTCTTCATATTCGCTCCAACCGCCATCAACTGAGAGATAAGGATAGTAGTAAATATTTTATCGGTAACCTAGGTATTGTCAACATTGCAAACTCGCATTTGTTTCAATAAATAAAGAGATAAAGGATTCTGTTCAATTATTACCTTATTAGAAGTGTAGATTGGGAACAAACAAAGATTTGCACACATGATGTGTGACACATCGTATATTTTATTGACTTTTTCACCACATCAAATTGAATACCTGGGCAAATATCAGTGTTACAAGATTCTGTTTCTTTAGCATCTCCCTCGCACTCTACACCACCATTTGATGGGACAGGGTTGGTACAAGATCTGCTTCTAGTTTGAGTTCCTTCACCACAGTCTACAGAACAGTCCGACCAGTCTTCATATTCGCTCCAACCGCCATCAACTGAGAGATAAGAATAGTAGTAAATATTTTATCGGTAACCTCATGACAATACAATTATTGTATTGTCAACATTGAAAACTTTGTTTTGTTCCAATTTATTCATAAATAAAAGATTCCGTTGAATCAATTCAGCATGATGATACCTAATTTTGAAATCAGGCTGCGCCACAGGGTTAGGACTGTGTCCCCGGATATATCGAAATTTCAAAATTGTATTATATAAAACACCGCCGGGTCTAAATTGTGAGGGGTCGCGAAAGGATTAGTAATAGTTTACCTATTGTCTGACACGTAGGTTGCTTTTCCCAGTCCCAGGTCCCATCCTCCAGACATGTGATAGTGTGAGAGCCTGTGTTCACGTGACCAGATTTACACTTTACTTCCAGTGTACTTCCAGGGATCGGAGGATACTCAGGGTCAAGGTCCGTGTTTGGAAACGTTGGGTTGTCGCATGTTACTGAAAGAATGTGATATTATAATAAGGGAAATTCCAGAGTTTTTACATGACCTGTTTGTAGTACAAGAACAGGAGCTTCTACTATACAATAGAAAAATGGCCCCATCCCTAATACAGATCCTTTTTGTATTTCACCTGATGATCTGTAGAAGATTGTTGGTGAAGGAGTACTGCCACTCTCGAACATAAGATAAGATGAATCTCTGGTGAAGGCAGCATGACATGTATCTGAGAAACTTGTGTACTCAAAGCTCCAAACTTCAACTTTATTACATTCTATCTTCAGATGAGTGGGTGTTTTGAATATAATCCAAGTTCTGTAGAAATGAGGTGGAACGTTGGTCATTGTGAAGCCGTCTTCTCCGTATCCACCATTACAATCTGGGCCTAACCAGATACTGAACTGGTTAAACTTGAATGACATCGAGAACACTTCCGCTTTTGAGGCGTC